AATTACTCAGACTCTTTTCTGGATTATTCATTCCTGTTAGGCACTGAATTCTTTTTCGCCCCATATTTCCGGAAGCTTCTTCTTTCGCCCCATATTTCCGAAGCTTCTCTAGTGGGGGCTTTCTTTCTCTTTCTACTACTATTGGTGCTTGAGGTATCACCCCTGCAATCCGCCTAAAAGTATCCGCAAGTTGCTTTAACAATACCTCTTGACCTGGTGCTATCGGAGCCTCACCCTCCACTGCTCTAGAGGCGTGTGACTCGCTCTCACCTTCCTGTGACATCCTTCTAAAAGAACAACAACTGCTTAGTTCATCAGGGTAACATGGCATGTACATTATACTGACTTATGCATGCAAGCCCGAGGAAACTAAACCTAGGGCTCTGATACCAAAATTTGTAACATCCCTTCCCGGTCCATAACCCGAATGAACCGGACGAGATGCCTACAAACTGCTTGTTGACTGTATCGGCCTGAATGCTTAGAATTCATAATTATACTTGAACGATATATATATTATCATGCTGATGCTTGTTGACAATAACTAATGTTATTTAATATTTAACAGGACATGATTACTAGTTCTTACAAAAATTGAAATGGGCCCAACTAGTGTTGCCCATGTACATGCCAAAAAGTGGTAGACAAAAAAATTTACACATCCAAAATGAGTAGTACCCTGAAAGACTGAGTCTTCTACAGATTGAATGCGCAGTTGTAAGCTGACTCTCTTACGGTCCATCTCAACCCTGCGATTTAGAACACGGGTAACTCGCTGAGCCAAATTTAAGCTTCATGAATATCTCAAAGAATAAAGAAACAATTAAGCACATATTAGCATGGATACTTTTCATGATACCTTGATTATCTTTTTGTACGTTTTATAATACTTGTATTAAATTTCATTTGAAATGTTATGTCCAAGACTATCTGTATGGCTCCATAAGGTATAATAGTGGAAACCGAAGTGATAAGAAAAACTGTATTGAAACTGGCATGAATTCATGTATGCTTGGCTGCTTATGGCCCATATATATCATATCACTCAAACGGCCTGTTAGCACGGAAGATCAAACTGTATGAGGTGCAGATTTGCTATCCTATGTCGCGGACATAGGCCTTATTCTGACATGGTTTTCTACCTACCTCAATGGAGCATTTAAAGTTGTATTGTCAATAAATAACACAAATATCATTAATATTCATAACTTCATATTTCAATAATGTATATTTGAAATTTACATCATTTGCATGCCTTGCATGTTGTTTTGATTACATCGTTCTTAATTGTTGTATTTTTGGTGTTAAATGATTATTGGAGGCAATATAAGTGAGCAAAGGAAGTACAATTGCATTGAAAAGAAGATCAAAAGTGCATGAAACAAAAGTTCGCCTAGAGCGCGCCTTGCAAAAGGATCGCGGAGCGCGTATAAAGCACCAGATGTCCACCTTGTGCGTAGCCGATGTGGGATTCGCCTAAGGTGTTGTGCCCCAAACCTGGGATGTCACATACGCGAGCGCTTACAGGCCAAGGGCCAAGTACGCGAGCGCGTACTTTAAAGTCGCGAGCGCGAAAAGTGCCAAATGAGAGACAGAGAGTTTGCGAGCACAAGTCGCGAGAACGCACTTGAAAGTCGCGAGCGCGAGATGTGCCAAATGAGAGTCAGAGATTTTCAGGTGAAAGTCGCGAGCGCGCATTTGAAAGTCGCGAGCGCGAGAAGGCAACGCGAGCTCGTCATGCGATTCGCGCGCGCTTCGCGTTTTCCAGCCTGGAGGTCGCATGAGGGCGCGCAATTTGAAAGTCCAGAGTGCGAGAAGGCAACGCGAGCTCCGTCTTTTGCGATTTCGCGCGCGCTTTCGCTTTTTTTCCAGCCTGCACAGTCTGTACTCTTTTGGTCATATCTCTCAAATACAAACTACGAATCTTGGATGATCGAAAAACCCATGTAAAGCTAACACATTATATGAACAAATAACTTTCTATGACACTTTCCTAATTCCATCTCATTAATGAGGCAATGAAGATGAAGTTAACTGGTTGAAATTTCCAGCAAAACCCTGTATAGTTCAACATAAAACTGAAATGATTTATACTTCTGTTATTCAATACCTCCCCTGTTTCTCCCCTGTTTCTTGACAGATTTACCAGTCCTCCCACTCAACATGAAGCCAAATATTGCTATCATTAGCAAAGCCACCACACAAAATCTCATACAAAAAAAATGGAAAATTAACAAGAGAATATCAAAACCTTTACTCCAAAAAGCTTGAGGCTCCTCTTTTAAACTTTATTTTTTTGTCTACCCAAATCTTTGAACTCCACTTCACCTATAAATCAAGAATTCTTAATGATTCTAAAAAATTACATAGCACAAATGATTTCAATTATGAACTTCTGATGAAGATTTACTTCTACTTTGGATAGAAGAGAAAAATTGAAGTTAAAGGCTTAAACTACTATATAAATTGAAAGGCAAGTTGGAAGAGGAAAAGGAAAATGGATGGAGAAAGGAAAGAGATGAAGAAGATGAAGATAAAGATGAAAATGGGAAAGTGAAATGGTTATTACGGGTAGGCCATCAAAATATCAAGAAAATGATGTGAAACTTCCTAAATGGTACCTCAGTTGTCAACAGGTTACAACTTAATACTCAAGCTTGATCTTTTAATGCAAGTAAATCCTCACCCATATGCTTTGATCTTTTTCTCTCATTCAAGTAAGTCCACTTATAAACCCATTCTACCCCAACCGGTTTGGTCTGGCCCGACTCAACTCGACTCTATGAAAAGACTCGACTCAGTGCTAAGACTCGACTTGGTAGGATGTCACAATTCTGCTTATAATCTGGTCAGTTGTAAATGGATTTTTAGGGTGAAGAAAAATGCCGATGGATCTTTGCAGAGATACAAAGACTCGACTCGGTAGGATGTCACATAAAAAACCTAAGAAAATTAAAAAACAAAAAAAAAAAAAAGAAAAAATAGAAATGAGAAGTTCAGGATAAGCTTTGAAATTAACATTTTGTCTTCTTTATTATGCATTAAGTGAAGGCTATTTATGCCAAAATATTATAACTCTTATCATAAAAAGTAAATGAATCTATCATAAATCCAATGTATGCATTTATCTTTTGTTTTTCTACTAATCACAAGTATCCTGAGTCCTATAGGTTCAGACTGAATTCTGCTTGCATCGAGTTGACTCACTAAGTGGTAAAACTTTTTATTGTTGGTTCTAACCATGAAGTATTCCTAGCTTATTAAGCTTGGGCTAAATCTGCTCACACTGAATTGACCAGCTTAGAGGTAAAGTACCTCCGGCGAGTATCTGACTTCACTTAAAGGAGAAGAGTGTTGAACTTCCCATCCCTACACTCATTGATATACATTTATCTTTTAGAACCATAAAACTAAAACTAATCTATTGCATGCATTTAGTCTTGAAACATAAATGAAACTTAATTAAGAAAATTTTTAATTCTCTAACATTTTCAAAGTCAAATCTTAAAGCCATTATAAAGAAATATGATTTTCCTCATGTTTACGTTCTCTCCTTACCCGATCTAATCATCTGAGTGAATGATATAACTCGCGGAGAGAAACTTATCATTTATTAGGATTTAAAAGTTACGTTCATTTCCCCCTCTCTGACTACTATTAGTATTTCATAAGAACTTTCAAGGTTCCAATTAGTTAGGTGTTGTTGAACAGATGAAGACTAATAAACGTTATAAAACTATTATCTGATAAAAGAGTGATTTAAAGAAAACTCATAAAATCAAACTTAAAAGAGAAGTATACTTCTTATCCATCCTTATGCTAAGTCCTTATTATATTTATTCGAGTTTTGTGAAACTAGCTCTAACTCCTTATTTATTATTTATTCGAGTTTTGCGAAACTAGATTAGAGAGGTTGCAAGGTAGGAAGTTTATCAAGCCATTTGAGCTTGCTATCTATTTTTATCCATCTGAAAATATGCTACCCATCCTTCTATCCTAAGTTAAGTTGACGCTTGATGGAAAGGGAATAACATAGAGCTTCTACTTTGTTTTTCTCATCCATTTAGCTAATATAAGATCCTTTTCATAAGGCTACAATATTAGTATTTGAAATTTGAATTTGATTAGAAATAAGGTTAACATCATTTTCAAATTTAAACTCTTTAACTATCTTTGATTGAGCACTTCTCTCCAATATTCTGATTTCTTCATGGAGCGTACTCCTCTCCATGGAGCTCACTCCTCTCCAATACTCTTTTTTTTTCATAGAGCATTTCTCACTAACAATCCACATTTCAACCTTTTTTTTTTCAAACAAATCAACCTAAATCTACAATTCTTTTGAACATGCACAAACCTCTTGCATTTGAAGTGGCTTTCCCTTATGACAATAATTCTTTGAGAATTATCTCTATCCCTATTTAATTTGAAATTTGTTCTTCATTCATTCTTAATTGGTCCATTACTGGTTTCTCGGTTTTTAGCCTTATTCGAGAGCTTTATAGTTATTCTAGTCGATGTTAGTTGTCAGTTACCTTACTAATTGTTCGTTAAATTAGAGGGATAATGTTTCATGGTCCACTCTCTCAACTTCTAAACACTATTATAAATTAGTATAAATAACAAAGATAATGTTGTAACAAAGATAAGCATGTTGGTGTCTTGTCCCACTATATTAAAAGATACCATATCTCGTGTTCATGTGTCGTGTCAGTATGCGGTGTTCGTACTTATGCAACTTAGTTAATAATTAATAACTCAACACTAGCTTTAAATTTCAATCATTTTGATCGCTCACCATGAGTTTTAAGTGTCTTTCTTATTTGGTGGGACTTTTAAGTAATTTTGGAGGGTAAAAGTTAGCTAGTATTGATGAAACTTTTGTTACACATAATGATATTTCCAAATTAGTACATATATATTGAATAGATGATCATGAGGCTCCATATTATAGCTCACAAAAAGTTGAAAATTTTATTTGAACATCCAATATACCCACATAAAAGCATTTCGTTCCCATACAATAGATTTATTTCATTAATAAAAAGGGGCAAAATAATAAAAAACAAACACACACAACTTCAATTAATTATTGTTTAACAGTTCATGCTTTGTGGTGGGGATGTAGGAGAAGCTGGCTGCGGTGGCGACAATGACGATCTAGGGTTTTTTCGAACATATTTTCGAGCCCAAACATGTTTTCCATTAATGGAGAACTTTGCTTTGTTCTTGCCCTCGAGAACAACGTGAATGATCGTAGGTGAATAAACGACAAGTCGTGCATATAGTGGCTGATCCTCTCCCAGTACTTCTTGCATATGAATTGCTTCGATACAATCTCCATATTTTCTGTCATCATCATAACCACACAAATAATGTTAGCATAAACAAATTAAACAAAAGTATATATATTAGAGAAATAAATAATTAAAAAGGTGTAGAAGGATATTATTATTATTATTGCCTCATGAAGAAATCTCCCAGTTCAGCTTCAGAAATCGGATACCCTTTAGAAAATGTCAAGAAAATAGTCCTCTCATCAGCTGGTACACTACTATTATCCTTCTCTTCATCATTAGTACTAGAAATATGTATATGGCTCAGTAAATCTGCAATTTCATCGTTCAAAATCTGTTTTTGATTCTGAATCTCAATATTATCATAATTCCCCTGCGAACGATAATTGTTACTAAAACCTAAATTACCCAATTGATGATTATAAGGGCCGTAAATCAAATTTCCACCATAAGAATCAAAAACTTTCTTTTTTCCGTCACTAAAAGTACTAACAACTACTGACTTCAACTTCTCTGCTTGTACAAAAATATCCTGGAAAGCCCTTTCGCAAACTTGGTTAACAATTTTCGAAACAGCAGGAAGGATGACAAGTCTATTTTCATGGAAAAAAGTAAGAGTAAGTTTAGTTTTAGTAAAGGAATGGAATAGAGGAATGTTATCACATATAGATTTATTTGAAGAAAGCATAAACTGATCGTTTCCAAGGCAATTTAAGCAAAGAATAGCTTCATTAGCCAAGGAATTGATTACGGTATCTGGAAGATACAAAATTTGGTACACAAAATATCTAGCATGGCTAGCCCTTTCTAGCCACATAAATAAAGCCATGATTTGCATGGACTTTATAGGGTCGAAATCAAGATAATAAACAAGCCTGGTGTAAATAATACGGTCTATATTGTGAAAGGTTTTGAAATCTTCTTGAGATACTATAGGGCTCAGAATAGGATTAGAGGAAGAAGATGAAGGAGAAGCTGAAAGAGAAAAAGATGATGCCATGATAGGTGTATTAACGTTAAATTGGTTTTCCTGAAAATAAAGAGGGATTTGTTGAGAAAAGTAATGGTTTTTTTTCTTTCTTTATAGGCGGAATGATGCAATTTGAAAGGTGACTTTTGGTAAGGAAAAGTTGTGTATTTTCGAAGAGGTGCCATTTTTTATTCTGTGCGTTTTGCAGAGAAGGAATGTCTGTGTTTTACTTTCTTTATTAGGGTTTTAGAGTTAAATGTTCTTTGCTGGTTGCGGTTGGAGGTGAATAATTGGTTCCATGTATGCATCTTGGTGTTAGGTTGCTACTTTCTTTTTTCAATTTCTAATTGTAGAAATTTTTTTTTTTTAATATCTATAAAATTTACAACAGAAGAAGTGAAAAAACTGAACGTTCATCATCTATATTTCCTTTAAATATTTAAAATACACCAAAAAAATAGCTAGTTTCCATATTTATTTTATGAAATATATTTGCATAGACCGGTCTATGGCCTCACCTAAGGACAACCAATGGAAATAAGAATTTTTTAAAAAAAATTATCATTTTCTTCTTAATATATAGTCAAAAATACTCGCATTTCAATAAAAAAAAAAATCATATTTTCTTTAATTTGATTTGGATTCATATTATGAGGTAAATATCTTTAAAAATTATATTTATGTGAATCAGGTCTACACAAGTCTATGTCTTTATTTATTATGAGGTAAATATTTATTTATTTATTTAATTGTTTAACTATAATAAATTTACTCAACAGTACTTTTAAGGAGGAACTCAAGTAAAAAGATACACGTGAATTTAGTAAACAATCTCTCCAAAGTTAAATCCACAATCACAAATCCTGAAAAAGTAACGTGAAATTATATTGTCTTATCACTGAATTAAAAATTATTATTTTCTCAAAAAGAATTAAATAACTAATTAATTATTTTCGAAGCAAAATTATTATAAAAAATAAAACCATGGATTTTTTTTTAAAAATAATAGAGTAATTAATTATTTAGTCACGGAGTTTTGGTTGAAATTATTATTACATCTCCATTGTTAGGAAAAATTATTGATTGTCTTTGAAATTTAGCAGTATCAGTTTTTCTATTTAAAAGGTGATTTCATTTTGTTGTTAAAAACCCTCTAATCTTCAACTATTTGGTCCTTTACGTTTAATATCATTAGTGTTATTATTGAACAGAGAATTAAATAGTTTAGCGAAATTAAACTTTATAAGTGAATCAATAATTTCGTCAAACAGTAAATATGCGATAGTAAATTCGATCAAAATTCAAAAACTAAATAGTTAATACCCTAAAAAAGAAGTACAAAAAGATGAAAATCTTCATTTTGAAGATTAATGTAGGAATAAATTGAATGTCATCAATGAAATCTTATCTTTTAAAATTGCTTCTTCCAATCATAAAAATATAAGCATTATAATTTATAAAAATATAAAATATTATCTTCGTCATATAAATATGGATTTGTTTTCATTTTTTTATTTATCCCAAATTATAATTCTTTTTCCTTTTCTAAAATAGGATAATTCATATTTTCTATTTTCCCATTTTTTAATTTGTATATCTATCAATAAAACGATTATTATTACCAATCAATATTAGCCAATTTCATCATTTAAAATTTTTTAATTATCTAATAAGTGTTTAATTGTTCTGATTTTACAAGTTAGAATGTTTAATAGAAAATTTTCATTAGATTGAAATATTCTATAGATATAATTTATAAATCAAAGTGTTTAATAGATTAAAGTAAAAGTGTCATAAGATTTTCTGTATAAAATACCGGGATAAATTTATATAATGAGTTGAAAAACAAATCAACATAAAATGAGACTTTCTATATTTATATTTTATTTTAATGAAAATGAGAAATAAAATAAAGAGATCAAAATAAATATGAATAAGATAACAATTAAGAATGAATCTAACTATCTTATAATTTATAATGTATATAAAAAGCTGGAATCGAGAGGGAGAAAATTAGTATTAACGAAAATAACTCCAATTAAATTTATAAATTGATAAAAATATCTTTAAAAATTTTAATTCTATTGGTTGAAAAAATAAAGATAATATAATTTGATTGGTTATATTAGTTTTCCTATTTAAATCTAAATTTTATTGGCTATAAAATAAAACAAAATATTATTAAAAGAAACTAAGAAATTTTTTTTAGAAGAAAATAAGAAAATTTTGTTAATGCACAAAATAATTATAAATTGAATAAAATAAAAATAATCTCTAATTGAGAAATTTTATACTAATTTATAATTTTAAATTATGTCCTATTGTAAAAATCTTGTCATATCTTAATTAGAAATTATAATCTTATTATACAATTTTTATCATATCTTAATCAGGAATTATGCATTTTATATCGCCACTATATGTATACTATACGTTTACTTTATCTGTGAAAGTTTTATTTATATTCACAATTAAGAATTTATTTTTTCTTTCATTATTAAAGATTTTGTTAAGAAAGCACGTAGAACACTCATCACTCAACTTATTTATTATAATCGATAGTTGATATATTAATTTTAATTTTAGTTAATTTTACTTAGATATCAATAATATACTATGTATTATTAATATTATTTTTCATCAATTATAATTGAAATTTCTAAATTTTACTTTGTATTTATGCATAAAATATCATAATCTTAAGTCTAATAATTGATGTATTCAATTTTTAATTTATGCATACTACCATAAGTTGGTTTAATTTTATTTTTATTATAATTACTATTCTTTATTTTAATAAAACAATTATTATTATTATTATTGTTGTTGAGTAAATATTTTCTTATTTTATAATAAAATTAGATTTTATAAATTATTATGAATCATTTTTCCAATTTTTTGAAATTATGAATATTTTTATTTCAATTTTATAGAAAAGAATAGTTATCTAACTATCAATAATTTTTATAATTTTACTTATTTAATTAATTATCTGTTAATTATTTTTTATTGTGAATAAAAATAATGATAAGCATTATTCTTGATAAATGGTAAAAGCTACAGCACCTTGCACAAAAGTCCGTCTGTTTTATATATGGTATGCGAACAATCCCATCTTCATGCCCTATTCCAGGGTGCAAAAGTTATTTAATTATTTAGATTGGAGAATTTATTTTTAATACTGTAGAAAAAAATTTATGTCAAGGAGATTGAAGGATTTTTTAAATAATATCTAATTTAGCAAGTGCTAAATATGATTACTTAAATTTGGATGATGCATGTAGGATTTGAGAAGTTAGATAATGATACATAGCATTCCATACTCATTCAAGAAAATATTCAAAAATTAAATAGTATATATGAAATTATTGAAATCGATTTATGATTAAATGGTAAATAAAAAATTACTCAAATGCTTTAAAAGTCATATATGTTCTTTTTTTTTTTTTTACTTGTGTTATACCAATAATTTTTAAAATTTTTTTCTTAGCTATTATCATGTATTAACATCACAACATGTTTTCTTAGCAAAAATCTCAGCCTGTATCACAACCCACAAATAGCAATAGTGAAACGGCTATTTCATTCGGTGGAGAAAATTTTATTGTACTATTATTTATTTAATCATTTATTTAGTCAAATGATTATTATTTTTTACTATATTGTTGATTATTATGTCGTTATATTTATGTTTTTGTATTTATTCAAAAAATTAATTTCAACCAATATGAAATTAAAATAAAATATTTAATATGCCATGATTACAAATTTTTGAAGCATTTTGAGATCTTATGGAGCATAACTTAACTTTCTAATCCTTTATAGTTATATAATATGTGTTGTATATTTTTATCATTAATTTTAATTTTAGACTTTTTTTTATTAATTTTAGATTTTTTTTAAAAAAAGTTTAATTTTAGGGTTGATTTTAATTTTAATTTTTTTTGATTTCATTTTATGAATACACCAATAAATATTATAATATAAATAATCTTATAAATTTAAAATTCAATTGTTTATTATTTACAGTGTTTTGAGAATTGGACCGGTCAATGAACCGGTGAAGATAGGGGTTCATTGCACTAAAGGGTTTAAAATGATTTAACCTGATTTTTATATATCATATTTTTAAATATATTTATTAAATAAAATTGAAATTGTAGGTTACAAAAGAAACTTTGATCTCAAATAAAAAACAGTTTAAAATTTAGCTTTTACAAAAAGAATAAATAATAAGAAAATAATTTAAAAAAAACACTAAATTTAATACTAAAAAATTAATTAATTATCATAAAATATATTATTACTTTTCATATGTAGCTTTAAAGTTAGGTGATTTAATTGTTTTAATTAATATATTAGAACTTTGGATTTAGAAATAAAGAAGCCCATTAACTAAAAAATCAATGGGCTCAATTTTTAAAAAATGCCATATTTTATGGAAAAACTAAAATTTAAATCGAACTGCTTTTAACCAGTTTGATTCATCGATTTTTAACCGGTTTTCATCCAGTTTTTATCAGTTCAGGCTGGTTTCTTAGACTTCCGATTTCCTTATACAATTCGGACAGGACCACAGTCTGGTTTCCAGTTAAACCGATTGAACCGGTTGATTCGGTTTGATTTTCAGAATGATGATTATTTTATATTTGGCTAATCATTATATAAAATATTTTTATTATTTTATTTTTTATTCTATTTTCATTAAAAAATTTTGATCATATGTAATATATTTACTTATGTAATTATACTATTTTTATATTTATATAATTACAATGCGCTGATTTTATATAATCAACTGCATCCATAAACAAATTTGTTGTATAAAATGATAAGATATATTTACCTCCCGATAAGCATTCACACTCTGTCAATATATATAATATAAAATCAAACTTCATATATATTTTCCGCAAAATTAGTGTATTTGACACTCTTAAATAACTCAATAAGAATAAATATTTTTACTCAACTAAAAAAAAAAGAAAAAAACAAGAATATTTTTAGTATTTTAATACTATGATAAGCTATTTTTGTATAAAAGTGACTTA